GAGATATATAAAACTTATATAAATACTCAGAATTATCTATACTGATGACATTCATGGAGCTCCATGCCAACAGTCATCAGGCACTTCCCACCATTGGGGAAGAAAATTACAAAAAACCAAATAAAAAATGGAAAAGAAAACAGCACAATTACAGAATTACAAAATTGTAAATTATTAAAAATTACAAAATATTACAATTTAAAAAATTTCAATTAATAATGTAATCTGAATCTGTCCACAAGTATCAAAGGCACTTTGTTGACTCCAGGTTAGGAGGAGTTGCGGTTTTTTCATGTGCTACTTTAGGGCCCTTTTTTTTTTTGTTAAGTATCTTTACCAAAAAAAATTAAGAAATTTAAAATKTAAATAAAGGGGACTCTTCATTGTCTCAGTTTCTAAACCTCTCCTTAGGCAATCCACGGGAAGGTGAGATAGTTTTTTTGGTTTTTTTCCAGGGATAAGACACTCAGGTGTCTGTGGCTACAGGCAGTGGAGATTTGGATGTTACAGTCAACCTATCAGTTATATTTAGAATATAGTAATATATTTATATATTTATATATTTTTTTAATATAAGTAAAATATTTTTAAATGCTTTAAAAATAAACATCTATTTAAAAACACATTATGGGAGCTGCTACAACACTCTCAAGGTATTTATTTATCCTAAGGAAGCTGCTGGCTTTCCCCCAGGAATGTGCCAGCACAGTGGTTGTGTCACATCCTCTTCCTTCCAGCACAGCTCAAGGTCCYCCTGCTTTCCCTTAATTTATAGGGGCACAGAGCAGTGAATAATGACCATCCTGCCCCTGCAGAACTGRGCTCCTCCCAACATTTTGCTGCTTTTCCTCCTGGCTCACCCTTTGGGATGATCCCAGAGCCAACCTGCTCCTTCCATGTTTATTTTGGAAGCGCCCTGGAAACCCCCAGTACTTGGCAGCGGCTCTGGAAGGAGCCCTTAAACTGAACCAGGTGCTGGTGCTGAGCCCAGCTTTTYCCTCATTTCATCCCTGAGCTGCTGATTCCATCCCACAGTGGTGATGGAGGTTTGGGAAGGCTCCTCTTGGCTGTGGGATGGAAAGAAACCCATGGGATTGCAGGAGGAGGGGTGTGGGATAGCTGCTGTGTGTGAAAACCATAATCCTGGGCTTGGTTCCCATCTTGGGACTGATCCTGGGCTTGGTTCCCATCTTGGGACTGATCCTGGGTTGGTTCCGATTTTGGGACTGACCCTGTGCTTGGTTCCGATTTTGGGACTGATCCTGGGTTGGTTCTGATTTTGGGACTGATCCTGGGTTGGTTCTGACTTTGGGACTGATCCTGGGCTTGGTTCCCCTTTTGGGACTGATCCTGGGTTTGGTTCCCATTTTGGGACTGATCCTGGGTTGGTTCCCATTTTGGGACTGATCCTGGGCTTGGTTCCCATTTTGGGACTGATCCTGGTCTTGGTTCCCATTTTGGGACTGATCCTGGGTTTGGTTCCCATTTTGGGACTGATCCTGGGCTTGGTTCCCATTTTGGGACTGATCCTGGGCTCTCTGGGGCTTCAGCACCCCTGATGTGCTGCAGCAATGGGTGCCTGGCCTGAAAAAGGGGCTCTTTGGGCCACATATCCAACCTGAAACAACATTTGTGTATTTTTAGATGACTTTTCATAGCCTGAAAAAAGCTTTTTTTTTTCTCTTGGAGGAATTTGTAGTTTAATGAAGCATCACGCTGTAAAGTCCTGTAGGTGAGTTGGTCACGTGCAGCTCAATCTCCATTTACCATCCCCAAAAAGTAAAGGCAGACAAGTGACAGGCACGTTACTGCTGAGGAAAAAAATCCAGGTCAAAAACTGAAATTAAATAAAATTAAAATATAAAATGTCCACTAAACACCCACAGCAACGATTGTTGACTGGGTGAAAACACAAAAACCTCCACTTTGAATTTTTTGGGATGTGCAGCAGCACCCAGCACAATTCAGGAATGAAGACAAGAGCAGTGACAGACTCTGATGAAAGGGGAARCAATTTAAATAATGTGGTTTAAATGAATATTTCTCATGATTCCAGCCCCACTGCAAAAAAAAAAAAAATGGTCATTTTTAAGGAAAAATTTAAAAAATTCTCCAGGGTGAAAGCAAAGCTGTTGGATTTCTGATGTCTTTTGTTGAGGGTTTGGGGGGGTTTATTTTTGATGAACGTGCTTATTTTGTTTTCCTATATAAAAGTAAAATTGCTTCTTGTTGAATCACAAGGTTGAGACTTAAACTCTCCATGGGTAAAACACAATAAATGCCCCCTTTGGCCACCACCTCATGTGCTGTGAGCAGGAGCAGCTCCTTTTTTTGAAAATCATCCAAGGCAGGACATTAAGAAAGGCTTAACTTTTCACTTTTTCATTCCTGAAGWTTAGGCCCAGGTAGTTAATATGTGTCTCAGATGGGTATTTTTCTCTAAATTTCAATTTTTTCCTGTCCATCTTGACTTAGAGATGCTCCAAGAGTGGAGCACTCAGAAACTTTCCAAGAAATCTGACTCTGAGCAGAGGGATTTCCTTCCAGGGGGGAATTTCTCATGATGTAACCACTCTGCTGCTTTTACCAATGTTTTGAGACCGCTTGGATTCTGTTTTTTGAATGTCCTTAAAGGCTTTGAAGCCTGAGAAAACCTTTTAARAGGCAGCTGGTGTTTCCAGTTGGACATTTAACACCGAGGCAGTTTGTGGAAGGATTGCTGCTGTGCAAGGATGGAAAGGGAGAGGGGACAGAAGACACCCCGATGAGTTATGGGCTCTCTTTCTCTTCATTAAAGCTGTCACATTCCCAGGAAGAGCTGTTACCATCCCTAGCCAAGTAAATTAATGTGAAAGTTTTCCCTTTTTTCAGCTCTGTGCCAGTTTGAGGCTCGGGGTGTGTGTTTTGGCGGCGCATTCTTGGAAGGYAAATTCATTCCTGCCCTGCACAGAGATTTTTCTTTCCTTTGCTGGCCAGGGTGGAGCTGCCAGGTGCTGGGAAAGCCTCTGGTGTKGGATTGCTGGGAGAATGAGCCCTCCAAAAACATCTGGAGAAGTTCAGCAGGGCCAGGGCACTGCTCCTAAAAACGGCAATTAAAAAGAAATTTCAAAATAAATCCTGCCCAAACGCTTCTGCCAGGGAGCACCTGGTAGGAGYGAGGAGTGAGGAATGTGTGKGATGATTTGGGTTGGAATGGAACCCAAAATGCCACCCAGTGCCACCCCTGCCATGGCAGGGACACCTCCACTGTCCCAGGCTGCTCCCAGCCCCAATGTCCAGCCTGGCCTTGGGCACTCAAAGGGATCCAGGGGCAGCCACAGCTTCTCTGGGCACCCTGTGCCAGGGCTGCCCACCCTACAGGGRACAATTCCTGCCCAATATCCCATCTAAATCTACCCTTTTCCACCTTAAAGCCATTCCCTGGCTCCTGTCCCTCCATCCCTTGTCCCCAGTCCCTCTCCAGCTCTCCTGGAGCCCCTTTGAGCACTGGCAGAGCTCCTGCAGTCTCCCAGGCTGGTTTGGTGCCCTGGCTGGTCCCTGTCTGCAGGCAAAGGCAGAGCTCAGAGCTGCTGCTGTGAGCAAACAGAGATTTTCTGGTTTATGGTGACATTAGAGCCCAAATGATTTCCAGACTCCCGAGAATGGGATGCAGGATGATGTGGAAAACATCAGGCACCCAGAGTTTGTGGTGCTCTTCCGGATAAACGGAGCAGGAAAGTCTCCCCATGTCTCTCCCAGGTTTCACAGGAATTATTCTCATTTTATTCTCCCATTATTTTGTTGTTTGTGACACAGAACCATGTTCTGCAGTGCTGTACCTGTGTGAAATAATGCATTATCCGTGGTGTTGGGAGCTCAGTTTGCAGTCCATGTCACAGGGAGTTGTGTGGAAAAGTTTGAGYGTGGATTCTCATAGCTTTGCTTTTAGCAAAGAGATTMTTAATCAGGAAAATAGCACAAGTAYACATCACTTTTATAAAGCAAATCCATCCTGCTCCACACACAAAAAGAAACTGAGAAGTCAAAAGCATCAATTTGATAAATAAATGCAGAGAGAGAAATAAAATGCTGCTGCAGCATCACCCTCGATGGTGCCTCCATCATTTCTCACGGGTGCATTGCTGATGGGTGTTTGTTCATTGGGATCCTCACATGGGCTCTGCAGGTTTGGGAGACCCCTCCAGCACACCCCAGCCTTGGGAGCAGCAGGAGAACATCCCTGGAAGCACAGAGGGTGGGAAGGAGCCGGGTATGGGCAGATGCAGGGTTTGTGTCCATCACTGCCATGCTCACATTGCTGCTCCTGGGGAGCAGAAGGAGCAGAAAGCAGCACATGTTCATTCAAAAAAAGCACTACAGGTGCTTTCTGCTCGCTGGCTCTGCTCCCCAGCCCCTGCCAGCACGAGCTGCCACTGGAAATCAAATGAATTCTCAATTGCTTCCTTCCAATTGAATCAGGGCAGGGAAGCAGGAGCTGCAGGAAGCAGGGAGCTGGAGCTGTTTCCTTTGCTCCTTCCCCAGGGATGGGCCCTGGGGACAGAGACTGAGCCCTGGGGGACACGGAGGAGGGGGCTCTGTCCAGCCTGGGAGCACCAGGATGGGTCATTCCCATGGGTTTGGGTGGTGTTCCTGCTCCCTGACATTCCCCCTTCTCCTCGTTCATGGATTTCCTTACAGGTGTTCAGAACATTTTGTGTCTGTTTGCATTTGTAGAGGTGACAAGGGTGAGTTTTTGTTACTGCTGTCAGGAATCTCTTCACTTTTCTCAGAGTAGAAAAAAGAATCTGACTCCAGATTAAATGTTTGAGGTTATTTTGCTGATACAGGGATGTGAATATTGGATTTTATCAAAGAATTACGGAGTTGTTGGGGTTGGAAGGGATGCTCAGAATGTGTTGTTCCACCCAAGGATATTTTTTGATGGACCAGGTTGTTCAGAGCCCCRTCCARCCTGGCTCTGTCATTTTTATTGCTGCAATTTCCCATTTGTGTTTTGGCAGGGCAGAGTCATCRTCAGCCTGCGAGGTGTGTGAGGGCACCGAGGGGATGCCAGAGCCACTGCAGCAGTGCACAGCCTGGCTGAGAGCCTACTTCAGTGAGCCAGGGGGCACAGGGACCCTGCCCGTGCCAGCTTTGCACCACCCCCTGCTGCAGACAGGTCAGTGCCACCCTGGAACCCTGCCTGTGCCATCCCCTGCTGCAGACAGGTCAGTGGTCAGTGCCACCTTGGGACCCTGCCTGTGCCAACCCTGACCATCCCCTGCCCCAGAAAGGTCAGTGCCACCCTCCCTGTCCCTGCCAGCCTTGTGCCACCCCCTGCTCTGGTCAGATCAGTGCCACCATCCACCCTGCCCATGCCAACCCTGCACCATCTCCTGCTCTGGACAGGTCAGTGCTCCCCTGGAACCCTGCCTGTGCCAGCCTTTTGCCATCCCCTGCTCCGGACAGGTCAATGCCCCACCCTGCACCATTCCCTGCTGCAGACAGGTCAGTGCCACCCTTGGACCCTGTCCCTGCCAGCCTTCCACCATCCCCTGCCCCAGAAAGGTCTGTGCCACCCTCCCTGTCCATGCCAGCTTTCCACCATCCCCTGCTCTGGACAGGTCAGTGCCACCCTGGGACCCTGCCTGTGCCAGCCCCTGCTCCAGACAGGTCAGTGCCCCCTTCCCTCTCTGGTTTTCGTCTCCCTCACTCTCGGGCACAGCTATGGAATGATGTGGGGCAGCTGCCAATGCTCAAAGGTGGGGTAGGGTCCCGTCTGAAGGGCTGGGAGCTGCTCAGGGGGGTGGTGGCTACTGGAAGGAGCTCTTGGCCAGCAAAAGGGGGGGTTGAGGCTTTGGCAGAGCTCTCCTGACAGGAGGGGACAGCCAGAGGGTCGGGCTCTGCTCCCAGAACAGTGACAGGAGAGAGGGAATGACCTCACTTTGCCTCAGCAGAGCTTTGGAAATCGGGAAAATTCCTTCCTGGAAAAGCTGTCCAGCCCTGGCACAGCTGGGAGTGGATCCCCATCCCTGGAAGGATTTAAAAACCGTCTGGATGTGGCACTTGGGGATGTGGGTGGCCTTGGCAGTGCTGGGATGTTGGAATTGCTGGGCTCAGGGGATTTTCCAGCCTCAGTGGTTCCCTGGTTCTGCAGTTGTGTGTCCCTGTCCCAGTCAGGGATAGGGTGCATCAGGCAGCTGTGTTTGATTCCTCAGAGTTCACAGGGATAATTCTGACACTTYTAAACAAAGAGCAAAGAGAATTGTTACCAAGTTGTGCTGTTTATGAACTTAGATAAAAGCAACACCTGAGAAAAGTCCCTCCTTATTCACCATTCACCATTTATTATCTGTGTTCCTGGAGGCTTTGTAACAGAAATCAATCCTTGAAATGAAACGGGTCCTATTGCTATTATTATTATTATTACTATTATTATTATTATTATTGTTATTGTTATTGTTATTGTTATTATTGTTAATCATTTATATGTTTGTGTTATTGATATTAATCTATTGTATTCGTAATATGCTTGTTATTATATTATATTAATATATTGAGTTATATAATAATAGTAGTAGTGGTAATAATAATAGCAATAATAATAATAACAACAGTAATAATAGTAATAATAATTATAATCCCCAAAGTGTGATTTTTGCTTCTCCCCTGCCCCTGAATGCCACCATTTCTCAGTGACCAAGGCAGTCTCAKTTCTGTGAGCTCTGCACAGTGACTTTGTTTTCCTGAGCACCTTCTGTCCTTGCTCTTCCATGTTATGGAAATTGCTCGGTGCCAGATCTTTCACAGCCAATTCCAGGRTGGTGCTGAGGAGGTTTTTCATTACCTGGGATGAAATGAGGTGCCACATTCTGGAARCTTTGTCCTTGAGGGTGGATGTGAATGGCCAAAGCCAGGTGGGAAACATTGCTGCTGCTGCCTTCTCTGCAGAGCAGAGGGGAATTCTGCTTCCCAGATTATCCACCAGAACATTATAAAACATTTTAAATGGTGCTTTTTCTTTCCATCAGTTTTCCCAAATGGGACACTGAATTCTCTTTAGCTTTGTGAGTGGAATCCCTTGGTGTCAGCACTGCTGATCCTGTTTTAGCTGCTGTTTTGGGGTTCAGCCCTGRGAGGTTTGGGTTTGTAGGAGGCTTTGCTCCATCCCTAGGACACATCCAACAACCTTCCTGTGCAGGCAGCCCTGAAGAGCATTTAAAAGAGGAAAAATAAGGGTATTTGTYAACAGGAAGCTTCTTAGGGAAATAGTCATCACCCTTGGATTTTTGGGGGGATGGAGGAAAGTTCCTCAGCAGCACCCAGACTCCAAACGCAGCCAGGAGCTGGGTTGGGGTGGATGTGGATTTTGGGGGTGAAGGAAAGATTTTGGGGCTCCAAACACAGCCAGGAGCTGGGTTGGGGTGGGTGTGGATTTTGGGGGTGAAGGAAAGATTTTGGGGCTCCAAACACAGCCAGGAGCTGGGTTGGGGCTGATGTGGATTTTGGGGAGATGGAGGAAAGTTCCTCAGCACCACCCGGGCTCCAAACACAGCCAGGAGCAGGGTTGGGGTTGGTGTGGATTTTGGGGATGAAGGAAAGTTCCTCAGCACCATCCAGACTCCAAACACAGCCAGGAGCAGGGTTAGGGTGGATGTGGATTTTAGGGGGATGAAGGAATATTCTTCAGCAGCACCCAGGCTCCAAACACAGCCAGGAGCAGGGTTGGGGTTGGTGTGGATTTTGGGGATGAAGGAAAGTTCCTCAGCACCATCCAGACTCCAAACACAGCCAGGAGCAGGGTTAGGGTGGATGTGGATTTTAGGGGGATGAAGGAATATTCTTCAGCAGCACCCAGGCTCCAAACAGAGCCAGGGGCAGGGTTGGGGTGGATGTTCCTGGTGCCAGGGGGGTCAGCTGAGGGTCCCTGCAGCCCCCTGGCCATGGGAGGGGTGGCTCTGGGGTCCCACTGACCCCTGGAGCTCATGGGGTTGGGTTTGACCCCCTGCACCCCGGGTTAGTGCTGGGGGCACTGTTCTCACTGCAGCACCTTCAGGATTTTTAATTCAGCTCAGTTTTTGGCTCTTGGCCTGGGCCCAGGTGTGTGTGTGTGTGTTTTACTGGGGAAGGACCTACGTCATGGGAACATAATGAGGAATTAATTGGCTCAAGTCACAACATTGCTGTTCTTCTGTGACTTTCRCCCTGCAATGCTTTCATAAAACAGAAAAAAAATCACATTGGAAAAAACATGGAAATAGATGACAAATAGTCCTCCACAAATCTGAAGGACTTGGTTTTAAAAGTCATTTAGGAGAAAGGTGAGGTAAAAATCAAGTTATGATGGGTTGCACTTCAGTGTATCTGCACATCAGAATTGCAGTTCTGCTAAATTAGGAGTTTGGTATTTATTTACTTTTACACATTTACATTTGAAAGTGCCTCCTCGTTTCTCCAGGCGCTCAAAAATGCAGAGCAAACATCAGTGAGAGCATGAGGATCCAAAGCCAGGAAGGCTTTTTCTCATCACTCTGATTTTCTCCCATTTCTGTTGAGCAGCAGCTCCTCAAGCAGGGCCCTGAGCACTTTGGGACAGTGGGAGRTGTCCCTGCATGTGACAGGGGTGGAATGGGAYCAGTTTAAGGTCMCTTCMAATCCAAATTGGAATTCTGGGATTCCRTGATCAGCAAAACCCTTGGCCCTTCTCCCCTTCCCTGTAAATATGACTGTGTACAGTGTGGCTCTTTGACAGAAGATTCAAATTCATCCTCAAGTGCTATTCTCAGCCCAATTCCTTTCTAATCAATGCTTAGATCAAATTTTACTTTATTTTTTCTGTAATAACTTCATCTTAACCCTGGACAGGAAGGGTTTTGCTTATGACAATAAAAGGCTCCTCATTTAAGGTCCATTCCACCCCAARCCWKKCTGRGATTCTGTATTTACATTTTGCAGTTTTGAGCTGCACCATTCACTTGCTGAGGAGGAGGGAGGCAAGACTTGCCCTTTCCTAGACAAACAAAAAAAATGTCATTTTTACCAATGATTTATGCTGCAATTTGTGAAATTCTCTTAATTTGTAGTAGAGGTTCAATTCATTAGAGAAAAATAAGTTAGAAATATCTCTGATTTTCCCTTTCTCAACACTGCAGCTTCATCAGACATGCAAATACATTTCTATTTAGGCTTTTAGAACGTGTTAAATATGAAATAATCTGCTCGGGAACATTCGTACTTCACATATCTGGACATGGCAGATTCAAGTGCAAAGAGATGACAAGCTTTCCTATTTCTGTCTGCCAACTCAAAATTCAAATTCCAGASACTGGCATCTTCCTTTATTACCATTTCATGTGAGAGGAGTTTTGATAAGCAGAAAGTCACTGTTTTGTGAGACATTTAATGGATTTTTACAACCCAATACTTYCCTACAATTTTCTGCAAACAGAAATCAATCCTCTCCAACCTTCAAAAATGGAAACAACAAAACCCCAAAAATAGCCCAGTTACTCTTATATCTCTTATTCTCTTTCCAGCCCAGTTGGCCCATTGCTTTCTACCAACTATATGTACTTAAAAACAAAAACTAAACAAGAAAATCAATACAAATGCATTCTGGGTRGAAATACCTGCAAAATTCCTGACCCAGTTCCTGTTGAATTCAGAGTAAAATTCCCATGATTTTCAGTGGAAGCCTGTGTGGTTTTAAGTGTATTTTAGATATTTCTGTTGGGGTTCACTGCTCATAGGATAAATTGCCAAATGTGAGCTATTTAGGATAATTCAGGCCCTCTTAGGTGCAGATTTCCTTTGTGGGAGCACTGATTGCAGATGTTCATGGGGTTTTGGTGGACCTTTTCGGGATAACCATCACCTGATGTGACCTTGGAGGAATGTAAGGATGGAGAGATCAGTGTGTCTGTCCTGCTGTGGAGAAGACAGGGAAAAGGTCACCTATTTTTAAAAATAATGGTTTATTTCCAGTAGGCCAATCCTTTCTTGCCAGTATTCTTGACATTATTACAGGCAGGACATAATTAGAATAAAGAAGTATTTCCTAAATAGTTTATTTTTTAGGTAAGAGTGGATTGAAGATCCACAGCCAGCGTTCACCTGTGCAATGGCAACATTTTCACTTGTTCTCAGGAAATTTGGGAATATTCCAGTGAGTCAAGGCTC